AGAAGAAAGATTCCTCACCTAAGAATTGCATTTAAAAACAATCTACAAGAGTATCCTGAAAAATCTTGAATGAATTTCATCCCACATTTATGTTTATGCCCATTTTTATATATACTATACACATATATATATATATGAAGAGATTTGGTAGAGAATTGTTATGTATATTGAGAAGAGGTCGCCGTGTGTAAGGTTGCTTGATTTATGGTCATTTGTTCACTGTCATCTCCCTATAGCAACGCCATTTACCGACAAGAGTGTTTCTAAAACAAATGCATTTACATTTTTAATATCTTCTGCTTATTAGTGTTGTTGCTTCTGCATGGTAAGTAAATAGGTAGGTGGGACACCCGGAATGTTGTTGCTCTTTTAAAGAATTATTAATGTAAGGGGTTGTGAGCGCTCACAAGTAATGAATACCGACATCGATCATAATGAGTGTATGTTTTTAGTGTCACTTAAATATGTGCGATCGCATAACAAACATAACATATTCAAGGCAATAGGGGGGGCGAAAGAGATCTTCTCAATTCAATTCTTAATGTTTAAAAATGCATTCATCCGCACACATACACGCAGGCATAAACGCGCGCGCGCGCACTCACATTAATTGTAAACTCATACCTAATAAAGTTACACTTGAAAATTAATGTTTCGGCATTTAAAACATTTAACTCAATGCATGTTGATGTAGATGATGTTATTGTTATTATTGTTGTTGTTGTTGTTGTATTGCTGCTCTTAAAGTGACAATAACGGCGACAGACGAATAAGCGGACAGACAAAAGCAGCAAAACACAAATGAAGATGTTTGCAGTGATTTAGAAGGCAATAAATTTTGTGGTTTAATGGGGCGGTGGGTTGTTGGTACTGTTACTATTGTTGTTGTTGTTGTTGTTGTTGTTGCTGTTTGTTACATATCGTTCTTTTATATATATATATATTTTTTTTTTTTTTTGTTTTTCTGAAGCCTTGAAATGATTTTCAATTTTTTTTCTTTTTCTCTTCCGATTGCTTTGATTTTTGCCGCTCATTAATGAAATAAGTATCATTCATTCGATATATATTGGGGAACATGTGTAAAATTATTGCTGTTATTTTCGTCAAGAAGTTTATCGACCATAAATGTTCAAAACACTTAAAGTCTCTATTAATGGTTCTAAAGTATTGACGGAAGATTTCCAAAAATGTTGAATTGTTGAAAAATTATATTTTTGTTATTAAATAAATACAACAATTTAAATTGTTAACAGATATTATTTACCTAACAGTTTACGATTTGAAAATTGCTGAGAAAGGAAATTGTGAATCGAAAAGCATTTCATTCACATAAGTTATAGTAAATTGCAAATAATTCCCAATAATTATGAATATTTATGAATATAATCAAGTCATTCAAGAACATTTTCTTCCATTTCTCATAAACAATGTCTAATGGTCAACAATAAAAAAAATAAAAATAAGTCCTTAGCCGGTTTGAAAAGTATTTTGATATAGATTCGCGTGCTATTCGCGTGAGTACAGGCCACGTGCCCATACTCGGTTCCTGCTATGATACCAAGTTTTAAAAATATGTTAAAAATAAATCTTAAAATTTATTTATCTCTTATGTGTCGCGTAAATGTGCCTATGTCCAGTAAGTATACGACGTGTACGTGATTAATAGAAACAAGAAAGAAAATTATATTCGGCCACGATCCAATGTTTCCTAACCATCACCATTATCTGTTTGTATACCGTCGTGGTGTCCTTGATATTTTAATTTAGAATTAATCCACTTAGCTTGTCGCATACTACACTAGAGGTTCCTTCATTTGATACCTAATTGATTATACTACTGGTAAAAAATGAATCCACCATATTTATTTTAGAACTGCATAGTGCTATAGTCTTTTGACCATAGATGTTACACAGACAGAGAGACAGAAAGACAGGTCCCAAGGCCCACAAATAGAGATGGACGGCTATTGCATTCAATTTAATTCTAATTTGAGTTATCTTGGCGGGCAATTGGATACAAAACGAACATTACCGGAACACATTAAGAAGCCTTCGGATCGAACATTGTCAACCACAAACACTCTGTACAAAATTATGCAAAACGTCAAGGGGCCAAGACACGCGAAACGGAGACTTATATGCAGCGAAGCCTACGCGCAAATGATGTAAGTCGTAACGATTTGGGCAGAGAAAGTACAAGCAAAGTAAACATCTTTTGCGAAATTTTGAAGCGCTTCCAAGGCAGTGCACGAGAGATGAGAATGATATCGCCCGACCGCACAGTTCCAAGGGCAGCGGGGACGCTCTTGGCAAGGATATTACCCATCGAGCTGCAATTGAAGTAGCAATTATGTATCCAAAGCAGAAAAAAAGGGAAGAACTACTGGCGAAGGAGATTGCAGCCATGTCTGCAAGCTTAACACTGCCCATGTTGCCGGATAGCAGTGATGGGAAAGCGAATGGAAAAAAAGTTCGATATACACCATTACCAACACACGGACAGATGCACATACTTAAATCGGTTTAGACTTGTCAAGACTAATCAAGGGCAATTACGCTTTATGGATTCTCTGAGGCTTCATTCCGGAGAACGTTTGCACGTTTTAACAAAATGAATATCTCTCTCATCTTTCGTTGATGGATGTAAAAACGATTTGAAATTTGTTAAAAACGTAATATTAGTATTAACTTGCCACATAACGTTTTCCTAAGTAAGTAATTTTTAAAAATTTATTATACATAGTTCTAGAAAGCAGAGTCCGTAATGAGACAAGAATCATCCACTGGATAATATATTAGCTAATAGGACGACTAAAGTGTAAGTGGCGTTAGTAGACTTGCTCTTTTTCATTCTTTTTTTTGTTTTTGTTCTCGTTGTTTGTAACTGAACGCTGAACAATTAATGAAGACTTTATCTGCTTGCAGTAATCAGCGAAAATGCTTACAAATGCGCAAAGCAAAAACTGAAATGTGAAACAGTGGCCAATATGTTAAAGACTGTAGACGTATTCACATGTCTTTCACAAGTTAACATATACATCAGCAATTACAACAAACAGTGCAGCCTGTCTGATCTCTGCAAGAAATGTGGTGTGGTGTTCGGTCAATGAAATTGTTGTTTAACGTTATCTTTTAGGACTACTTTTATAATTCTTTGCAAGTTCGACTATACACATATGTGCGATGCATTCATTTGGCCATTTTGAATACTTTTAATTCTTGATAATTCTTAGAACTGTTACGTTGGCCAATATTCATGAGCCATATATACCATATATGTATATGTATATATATATATATATATATATATATATATTTGCAGACCCATAAAGATATCTATGAACTTCTAAATGCATTGTATGTAGCCAGCAGACTAACAAAAAGGTAAAGAAAACTTCAAAGTGTTTCTTTGTTAAAACCAATCGATAACATAACAAATAAAATTGTTCCCTAGAGATGATATTTCGCTGTCGAACAAGCCCACAAATAGAAGTTCTTCTGCACAAGAGAGAGAGAGAGAGAGTGAGAGAAAGGGAGAGAGAGAGAGAGAGTAGGTAAAACGATAAATGGAATTAATTAGGTATAAAATGTTAAATCGCGTATAACCAGTCATTCATTGCAGTTTGTCTAGCATTACTAAAATAGCATTTTAATAAGCACACGATAAACTCTTGTCAATTTATGACAATTACAAGTGATTAAATTAGTAATGTCCCCACCATAAGTAGCAGCGGACTCGATATTCAATCAACGGAATAAGAATATTTTTTAAAAGTATTATTAATTGCTGTGTAGCGTACACACACACACAAACACACATATATATATATATATATATATATATGTAAAGCCATGTCGAAGGCTTTGATTTTCAAAGTGTGAAAAACGGAATTTTTCCTTCTTTCTCACCGGCTATTCGACCTGTCCTCACCTTCGTTATATATATATATATATATATCCCTCCCCTGACTAATACCTCTTGACGTTATAATTCAATTTACTTTTATTAATTAGCTTATGTTATTAACTAAAATACATAGTTCGAATAATAAACAATGGGGTGTAATTGCCCATAAAAAATCGAACGTCTAAAAATTAAAATTCAAAAGCCTTTATTTAATTTAAATGATCTATCGTCAGCGATTATTGCACGGACCGGAAGGTCTTCCTTTAAAATACCGCTAATTCGGGATCATTAACCGAGTCGGCGGTTCAATTCAGATTCGGAACAAGATACGCAACTTTCTTCTCCAGTATGCCTCTGTTCGAAATCGAATTTGCGTAGGCAATCGATTAGTTGATCAGTACATCAGCTGACTTATTTCGAATGCCGTATTCCCATACCATTCCGTTCTTATCTGTATATAGTTCTTAGTTATTACCGCCTCCCTATAATACTCACAAGATAATAACAAATTAATTGCTATAAAGGCAAAGTAAAGGGAAGGAAAACTAAAATATACTTATCCTACTTTAAATACTTAGGAATAACTTATCACGACGTATAGGACGAAAACTGGGCCTGACAGAGGACAACAGAAACTTGCATTAATCAATTTCGAAATACTTTGTAGCATTGGAGGCCTTTTTTTTTGGAACATAATGCAACACTGCTTGAAATTTTCGAAAACAAGACTTATTGTCGCACATCGTAAATGAAAGGCAGACAATTAGTTTTGTTTTTTTTTCCTTTCTTGAATTAATTAATTAATTTGTAATTGTTTCTCTGCTTTGTTGTGTTTGCTAATCTTTTTTTTTTTTTTTTGGATATTGATTACTACGATCCCCAAACTAATACAACAACATCAAGATGAAATACGCATTAAGCTTTAAATGCCATTGCTTTCAACCGCATAATTATTGCAATTGCCCACAAAAGTTTAGCGGCCAAACCTTGTTCCTGCAAGGCGTCAATGAGGTGGTCAACGGTATTACAGAAGTAAGATGATTTAAATGATTCGAATCGACTCTATCTTATATATACTTGTTCCCCTGAGGTGATGCACATTTGCGGTATACCGTACACTAATACAAAAAGAGCAATTGACGTTATTGCCTATTATTTTCTACATTATAATGAAGTACGTTTTCGTATCGATGCAGTACCGCAGAAGCGGATGTATCGCTTAGATCTTATACAAGATTTGGCATGCAAATGCTTAATGACTAGCCGTGAGGCGCAAATTTCATATACGATTATTAAGCGAGCCTTTAGAGCATTTTATTATGGCACCGATGAAGGCGGAGTAGCGAATCCCTTACTTTATCCGCAATTGAAACATTCGCCAGAGTGCTTATGGTATCATGCGGCGCGTCGAACGGCACAAGTTTACGCCTGCTACGAGGGCATGTTCCCAATTTGTCAAAAGGATCTCGAATTACAAATCCGTACGGTATATTTCAAGGTATATGAGCGTTTGAAAGCACTTCCAAGAGCTGGAGGTCATCAGGAATGCATGTGCCCGAAATGCTTTAAACGCAAGCAGAGAGCAAGTCTAAAACCACAAAGCAGTACTGCTATGTTACATCAAGCAGTCGATTCATACGAAAAGATTTATCAAAAAGAAACAGCTGAAATTGTTGGCGATAGCGCTTATACCAGATCATCAGCTGTTCCGTATATTGGTCATGAGATGGAGAGTTTTGATTTGCTACAGGGCGAAAACCGAACTTGCGATTGTCCTACCCTTGATATGATGAAATTCGAATTGAACGTACCACAACTCGCTGAAATTACTAATACTGGTTTTAGTCAAGGCCCATTCGAATGCTATTGGAATCCGATAACAAAAGAGGAAGCCGAAGCAGTTGATGCGTTACCAGATTTTAAATTACCCGAAGAACAGCCCTGTCCACCGGATACATGTGATGAAGATTTATATTCATTAGAATCTTGCGTCTCAATTTGCGAGTGTACGTGCGATGTATGTGAATGCGTTGAAGAAGAGGAAGAGATGGAAACGATCGAAGAGAAGAGCGAAAGCCGACAAATAGATACGACAGACGATCTTCTTGAAGGTCCGCGAGCACCTAGCGAAAAATATAGTCTTTGCCGCGTTCCAATAAAATTGTTAAGCAAATCTGAAATTTTAGCTTTCCAAAGTAAGCAGAAACCGAAAGATCGAAAAAAAGCAATAAAAAAGAAAGAACGTAAAAAAATTCCAAAAATATCTGCAGAGAAACGTATCGACTCGGACAAAACGCAAATGGAGCAAATTAAAAAAGAAATGCTTTCAACATTTAAGAACGAAACTGAAAAGGAAACTAAATTAAAATTGAAGAACGCCGCTAAAAGAGTAACGCATTTAAGATTTGAGGAATCGTAGTTGTTTCGAAAAACCCGCATCAACCAAATTCAAAATTTCAAATCATACGCGATTGGGGAACATTTTCTTATAATACCACGTGGCACTGTAACCTAAAAACGTACAAAACTGAAATTAAAATAAATATTCTGGAAATAACACCAATTGCAGGGCTCTTAAATTCTACATATATATTAATTCCCGATAGTGAAGTCAACATTCATGGACAAGTTCGTTGCTTATTTACTATTTGCCGAAAGCCCATAGCGTGAGACAAAGCAAGACGAGAGAGTTTATTTAGAGAACACATTTTCTTTATTTATTTTTTTTTTTACCAATTACTCAAGAGATGTCCCCTATTTAAGTAACAGGAGTGACTGAAAAAAATACCCAATGACCATGTAGTCGTACACCTTTAAAGACTGACCACTGATTATAGCTACCATCAAAGAAAATTCTACCGTATTTGAGATTTGAATCGTTTTACTCAGGTGTATAAATACTACTAAGCTGGAAAGAATTAGCGGAAGGTAACTTATTTCTTAAATTGCGGAAACACAACAAATACTACTAAAGCAATTGAACTTGTTAGAGAATATATAATTGAGCCGAGGACAAGGCACTTCGCTCAGGGACAAGAACATTTTTATTTAAACATTCAGTTTGCTTCGTTACCTTTTTAAATTTCGCCGACGGCAAGTCGACATTGGCTAGAGAAAGAGATTGAAGGAGCCAAGCCTTCTCCCAAACACTCTCTACGTTTATCTCTAAATTTTTTTCTCAGAAAAGGGATATACTCTAGTGAATAACTCCAACGCTACGAGTCTCTTCTAAGTTTATGCTTATGTGCTAGAAGAAGCTGGTTAGCTTCCATTTGTCAATCGGCAGTGGTAAGGTAAATTTTGTGATGCTCGCCGAATGGACAACTTCGTCTTCTTCTTCGACGCCAATCCAAAGCTCTTCCTGTCTGTTTAATTTAGGGATTAATAACTTAAAAGAATGGCTGCCCTGGCTTGCTTGCCTCGTTGTTAGTCTTTTCGAAAACTCGTATAAGAGAAATACTGTGATATATAGCATTACGGGAACAGGGTATGTTATGATTGATATTTCAAAAAAAAGAAAACACACTTCTGACTATATATATATAGGTTTATTTCATATCTTATTTTTGAAAGATAAGACGGAAAAAAAATATAATTTTTATTAATCGAAATATATTTGGAATTGAAACTCCCCACCACCCCCCACCCCCCTTTTTTTTTTAAGATATACATATATATGTCCAATGCATAATACTATGCATCCTGATAAATACATACAAAGCTATAAATGTGAATGCTTTCAACCGCACGATTACTGCAGTTGCCCGCAAAAAATCCCGGCCACTATTGTTTTCATAGATAACGTGCAGCATACAGCAAAATCCATATCAAAGGTAAGAGATATTTGTTAATAAACACGAGCTAAGAATGCAAAACAAATGTTTTCGATACGCTATGTTTCACGTAGGTGATGATTATTTGCGGTGTCGAACAAAAGCAAGCAGAGAAATCGATTGATGTTGTTGCGTTTTATTTTTTACATTACGACGAAATACGTTATCATATTAATAGCGTACCGCATAAGCGACTAAATCGTTTAGATCTTTTACACGACTTATCCTGCAAGTGCTCGATGGCTAGAACTGAAATCCAAATATCATATTCAATTATTAAAAGGGCTTTTAAAGCCTTCTATTACGGCACTGACGAGGGCGGTGTACATAATCCTTTATTAAATCCGAAAAGGAAACATGTATCAGATTGTTTATGGTATTATGCTGCTCGTCGTACAGCCCAAATATACGCCAGTTACGAGAGTATGTTCCCGATTTGCCAAAAAAGTATTGAGATAAAAATCAGAGTTGTATACTTAAAACTGAGCAACCATATAAAGTCATCTATACCGTATGATGACGATCGCGATTGCGGCTGCTTGAAGTGCTTTAAACGAATATTAGTCGAAACTCTATGGTCTGCATCCAGTAAGGAGCACTTGCCTGACCCGTCGGCTGTCTATAGCGACAAAAGTTCAACACTGCCTGGATCTGGAATACAAAATGAAAAATGGAAATTTCGAGCAACCCAACCGCAAGTTTGCGATTGCCCTGAGCTTACCGTATCAAATCAAGATAAATCCCTTATAGAAATTGCGGAATCATTGAATATAGGATACAGTCAAGGCCCATTTGAATGTCATTGGCTTCCCATATCAAAGGAAGAAGCTGAAGCAGATGAATTTAAACCTGACGTCTCATTACCTGAGGAATTTCCTTGCCCATCCGAGTCCACTATATTGGAAGAATTTGAATCTGAGCCTTGTGATGCGTCATCCTGCAAATGCACATGTGAAATTTGTGTTTGCGGTTCTCAAGAAATCTGCGATGAAGATGCAGATGTCGAAAGGGAAGTAATTGTAGATGAAGGAACTTTACAAGAAGAAGAGGAAGAAAGCGAAATAACCGTCAAAGCAGAATCAAAACTTGATCTAAGTAAGCGCATGCCAAGTAAAAAATACAGTGGCTGCCATGTTCCTTCGGCGCTGCTAAGCCCGTCTGAGCTAGATGTGTTTAAAACTAAAGAAGACCAAGACCTTAACAAGCCGCGTAAAAAAAGCGATCTATGGAAACTGATGAGAAACGTCTTAAAGTTAACACATCTGAGGGGACAAGGAGAGCAATTAAAACACTCGAAAGAAACTAGCAGTGTTGCAATGCGGAAGAAAAGTAATCAATGGAAATTGTTGAAAAACGTTATGAAATGGCCGCTTACCAGACCGCAACCATTCGTGTCAAAGCTAAATGCGCAAGAATCGAAAGAACTTCAAGGCCTAACAAAAATTGGCGATTAAACGGAGCATACGGGAAAGCAAGAGTACTTATCGAAAGAATAATTAATTATCTTTTAAAAATCCGCATATAATTCGCGAAAGCCATTTAAAGAAAGCTTCAAATGGTAGGTAGTCATCAAGAGTAGCACAGAGAAGTCGAAAAAGTGTCTTGGAAGCTAATCGAGAGGTTTCTTTCCCGTAGTAAAATATTTACATATGCGTAGGTATAGGTTTATAAGTATATATACACATGCACACACCCATATAGTTATATAGGTCCGTAGGTATAGTTATTTATATATATATATATATATATATATATATATATATACATATTTATATATATGTATAAGTATCGGTAGAGTGGCTCATTAAGATTTAAGCGGAATGGTGTTATTTGCGAAACACCTTTCATTAGTAATTGTATCTCATTTCCTGCTAATTCAAATAGTTTATCTGCGAGTTAGAAATTGCAATTGACCTTCTCAACAAGTAAACGCCAACATAGTCCAAAAGCAATAAATCTCTAAACGAATAATGATCAACAAGCAAGACTTTATGTGTTTGTCAACTGCAACTAACTGAGGCACACATTCTCACAGCTCAAACAAAAAACTTAACTAACTCTTAACAGGTACAACTACAGAAAGCACTAAATACACACACACACACACACACACATACATACATACACACACATCCTTGCTTTCCTATATACATATAAAGACATACATACATACATACATACATGTCTATATATATATATATATATATATATATATATATATATATACGTAAATTCATAGATGAATCTTAAAGGCCATCTAAATGGTTGTAGAACCATGCTCACCCATGCTTTTAACAACATGGAAAATCAATGATCGCTACCTCTGCAACAACCGCGCCACACAAAGTATACGAATGCAACCGGTGCGCAAAAACGAGGGCGAAGTGAAGTATAGTAGAAATAGAAGTAAATGGAGGCAAGAAGGATTGTTGTGTTCTTTCTTAACTTGCAAACTATTACTTAACATCAATTCGTATGGCCTTCTGGAATTACAAACAACTTCATTGCCTTGAGTTGGTTAGAAGACCAACTAACTCGTAAGTTACGCTAAGCGAAAATGCTGATCGGTTCGAGTGTTTTGCTTTTGCTACTTCAACTCATTGCTTTTCTAATAGATTTGCCACTAATCCAGAATGGACCATAAGTTTTACATATGTATATATACTGTCATCAGCCATCCTGATGTTGCTCTCTTAGCTCTTTATTTTTTTTATTTTTGGTCTTCTTTTTTTTTCGAATTTTTCCTTTTCTTTTCAGTTACAAACAACAATATCGCAACAAACTTTGTAAAATATATATAGATATATATATATATATATAAAACTGTATATATATATGTGTATCTGCTATACGTTCGATACGTTCGTAGTGGTTTGGGCTGATTGGTTTGTTGGTTGGTTGGTCGGTTGGTTGGATTGATTCTTTCCGGTGAACATTTTGCGCGAAAAACGTGAGCAAAGCAATTAATTAGTCGTACACAAAAACCCTTTTTTTGCCTTGAGTTTCGTTTTGTGGAAAAATTTTAATTGGCAATTGTTGTGCGCTTTGTATGGTCATAAAAATTCCTACACTTCTTTTGGCATTTTCAGCGAGCAGCAGCAGCAGCATACCCGCTATCACCACTAGTTCATGGTATATTTGTATGTATACCATGGTATAAATATATATATATTTATATTTATATGCTTATATGTCACTATCTCTGTACAAAAAACGTTGAAGTACAAAAATCAGCTGCTAACCTCCACCGAAATAAGAATAAACGAATCTTTATATGTTGGTTGCATAAATACATCTGTAGGATTTTCTTAACCCTTTCAGGCAATCGTTCGATTATAGCGGACTAAACACTTTACGACAATCAATATATAAAACAAGAATATTAGAAATTACATATTTACATACTTTCTTTCGATAATTGCACAAAGATATCTACTGCTCCTTCAATTTGAAAGCTAATTTTTTTTTTTCCTAAATATTGAAAAATCATATTGAAGAAGAGGTTTGTTTGGACAATCGGTTTTCCTTATGTCTTTCAAAATTTTGATTTCCAATTATTTGTTCTTGAAGATATGTATGTATGTGTCCTAGCGTTTTCAATTCTAAAGTATGGACGGAAAAATATCTATCCCTAAGCCGGAGATGCTTACCATTTTTTCTGAAATCGTTAGACGGAAAGGATGTCACTTCCAAGTTAGTTTGCAAATTTTTAGGCGATATCTTCATTTTCGCTAACCGGAGAATGTTTACCAAAGATAGATGGCTGGCGGACAGATGGACGGACAAACAGACGAACGGAACATGCCTTCAAGTTTTTGTACATCTTTCTACATGAGCATGTTTACCACAGGCAGACAAGCGGACGAATAAAAGTACCTAAATCAATTCCGAATAAGAAATATTGATCAAGAATATTAAAAAAATCCCATCCATTTCACTAGATGTTGAATAATTGTCCAATAATATTTTTGCGAATTGCGAAAGAAATGGGAAAAAGTCGTAAAGAAAAAATGAAGAGGTGGTCTTCGCCAAGATAGCTCTGCAGCTATTTGATTTTGAAAAAATTATTAAAAGAATGTTGCAAACATTATAAATATACAAATGTAGAATTTTCCCGCTTGCCAAGGGTATGCTCGTCCAAGAAAACTATCAGTTTCGATTTTATAATAAAGACATTTCGAAACTAGAGAGAAAAAGGTTAATGAAAGCATTGCAGCAGGTGTAATATAATCGGAATCGCAATGTAGCTTTTGCTAGACAGGATTGAAAGGTTCTTAAAATCGCTAAAGCTGATGAGGAGAAACTACACATTTGTCCATTTCGTGCTGCGGTATATAAGCGATGTGATCGGGCGGTCGAACGAATAGCTTTCATAGTGCCGAAAGTGGATGGTCGGTGCCTACAAAAACTGAAAATTCTTCTTTCAGCGAGAAAGTGGAACAAATGTCAAGACCAAAACCTGCATTTGCGACGATCAAAAGCTTTGAAAGAAAACTTGAGGGCAACATTTAAGGCTCTAAAGTAAATGCACTACAATTTTATATATAAATTAGGAAAAGTGAGAAAAATTGTGCATCTGAGAACTGGAAGCTGATAACAATCATGAAACACAATATTGTAAATAAGAAATGAACGATTGCGTGCCGCTAATCCTTGCTCTCTTTTTTTTTTTCTATATATGAATTCGTTTGGATATATTATTATAATATTTGTCATTTAGTTATTTCAAAGAAATAGTTCTTTTACTTACCTTGGTTTTGTAATTTTTGTCAGCCATCACAAAAAGTCCGGTGTATACTAGATAGTAATTTGTAATGCAAGAATTTTTAAATTTGGATGACTTAAGCATAATAGACAACACAATTGGTTAATTTCAATAACACAAAGTACACACACACAGCATTTAATTATAATATATATTTCACAAATATTTTTATTAGAAGCGAAACTTTCATGGAATATCCGTTTTGCTATGAATTTACTTCAAAAGAACACCCATTGCATTGGCTTAAGTGAGGTGACCAGAATTTTTTCACTTGGATAAGTGCGCGCAGTATTCTATTGCTTGCTATTGAAAATCCAGTTCTTTAGTAATCGCTTTGTAACCGTTTTTACCGTTAACCGTGCTTCTAAGAAAAGAAGAAGAGCGTACAGAACCCAAAAATCCAGTTTGTCTTTGCCTATAAGCATTTTTTTTCTTTTTTTTTTTTGCCAATCGCAGACAAATTTTTCTAATCTAAATCTTTCTTAGAATCAAGTTTTGGTTCAAGGACAAGGAGCTCATTGAAGCCCATAAAAGAGAATCTATTTCGCTAGTATATCTTATTAAAATGTACAATTACTTTCTGGGCAAGAGTTTCGCGAAAAACAGAAAACACCGCAATTAATTTGGCAAACACTAAACTAAACTATTAAAACAAATTAAATTTATACTCACTACCGAGAAATGTAAACTAATTTCGTAATTACGTGTATAAAATATTGCAATTCGGACAAAAAACTTTTATTTCAAAGAAATGATTTTGCGATCTTGTTGAGCAAACTTAGTAACAGACTATTGTAAATAAACCGCGCGTGAAGAAAACAAACTAAACGAAACGAAGAGTTCTTTTAATGTCGTTTCATAAATAAATATCGCATGATATATCGCATTAGGTTGCGAAAGAAAAACTTATCGATGCTATATGTATAGTAAACATAAAGGCTGAAACAACTACTTCATAACTTTGGCATTGCTTTGTAGGCGAGGTATAGCAAAACGCCTTTTAAAGCGTCGTATATATTAAAATTGCCCATTTTTGATGTTAATATGCACTATATAATTCAAGATATTTTCAAATTTAAGAAATTATGTTTAAAAAAAGTTATACAGGAACTGGAATAAAAATTCGTTGTCTTTGATAAGAATAACTACAGAGATGTTCAAACTTTTATTACAATTTAAGTAGCAAATGCTTCTGCAAATGAGTTCTGCCCAATTAGAGGTAAAGTGTCAATTTATTCTTCTCATTTTTTTTTTTTTTTTTAGGGTGGCTTACCGTAATAATTTCAATAGGTTTGAAGTTCCTTGCAATGGCTACGACGGTAAAATTGTAACAATTTCTTATTGTTATGTAAAATAAGTATTATTTTACTTGTTATATTAAGTGGTAAAATACCAGTTTAATTGAATATTTTTCTTAAAACTTTTTTTATAAACGCTCTCTGGCGGGCTATCACGAAAAGTGTTCGTAATCATAATACATAATCAATGGCTAAAAAACTCTGTTTTTATTTAGTTTATACAGCTAATATGTTTTGTTTACAAAACGAGGTAAAATTCCTATTGATATTTTAATAAAGTTGAACAGCTTGGCAACACTGATTTGGCAAAAAACGAAGCAAAAAGAAAAAATTACTAAGTTTGTGAAAAAGCGAAAAAAAAGGAAAAAATTATTCCCGAAATTTTCTAATAAATTTTTAAGCAAAAAATACGTATATTTCGCACACATATGTATATATATGTACATAAATATTTATAGACGAAATGATTGGAATAAATTATAAACGAATTTATTAAAAAACAAAAAACTAAACAAAAATAAAAACTTTTCAAGAACAACGCAAGAAACATTTATTAAAAAAAAAAAAAAAAAAGTGAAAAAGAACAACAACAACGAAGAATACGAAAACAAAAAGTGTAAAGTTCGTACAAAATAGCAAGTGTTGTTCTTCTTTAAAAAGAGAGGTCAAGTTACTGGATTTCAATATTATTTTACGTAAAACCGTAACAAATAACGCAGGAAAACTTACCTCAAATATCGGCAAAGATCTTGATTGAAAGATCTTTACCGTTGCAACAGTTAGTTAGTCACATGTTGGGAAAAGGAGACCTTGAAAGCCCATAGCATAACATAAAAACGAATGTTTATCCCTACACTGAGAAGCATTAAAAGTAATTGTGTCACAAAATAACTAAAAAAAGGGAAAGAGCAAAAAGAAAGGAAACAAAATGTCCGTACGTACTAAAGTTCTGGGCATGGTAGATGTTATGATGCGAGTTCCCCCAATATTAGTTATCGATGAAATACTCAAAATAGGCATGGGACTGCCCAGTCGTTCCTATACAGACAAAAGTGTGGATAAAGGTGGCGGGGCGAGCGACATCAGCAGTTTCCATCATCAATCCTCAAACAATAGTATAGATGCGGCGGCCGGCACCGACTCAATTAGCAACTTTGATATGTTTACTCAAGTAACGAATGCATCGCTGGAAAAAGCCATAGATAATGCTTCGACTGCCGCCATCGCTGGCGGTGTGCTGAGTAGTTCTTTTGGGAATCTTATAGATGAATTAGCAAAAGATTCGTATTTGTCTGATTTATTGTCAATAACTTCGATAAAATTTGTAATCTGCGTACTTGGTAAGTTCGCGTTATATATATATATATATATATATATATAGACTTGAAAAAGGAAAATCATAGAATTTTCATAAATACTAACATAGCATATAGATAAAGCATAATATAGATAAGCATCGGTCTATGCATATATACATATATATATATATATATATTCGCCAAAATTTTTTCTATTTTTCTTTCTACACTAATCACTTTATTCTCTACTCTCACTTCGCATTGCCTTAAAAAAAAAACTTGATTTTAATTTCTAACCATAACAATGAGTCAACGTCGAAACGAATGACGAAAATTCTCATGAAAGCATTTAATTCCTTTAAAAATGATTTAATTATTTTATAAATTATTCTCTTTTAGGCTTATTCTGTGCTTTAGGTATATTTATGTTGTGGACCCGGCATTTGGTAATGGTGTATATGTTTGTCATATCGTTGGGATTAACATTTTTATCGCATTGGTCCAATGTGTCGGCTTTAGCGCTAATGGAAAATAACTCCTGCATACTAGAAGATATCTTGTCAATGAATACGACCCGACTCCTGGATACAGGCGGTGTTGCGGTATCTTTATTACCGCACTTGGTGGCTCAATGGTTTATGGGCATGTTGTTCGCCTACATTCATTTAGGACCGCGCTATTCCATACTACAAAGGTAATGAAATTTTCTATAAAATAAAAAATGGAATTTTTCTTTTTCACATCACATCTTTTTTGGCATTCCCGAGGAACTCAACGAAGCGTTTTTGTTTCTAAATTGCAACCTTTCAAAAAACTTATTGGCAATATTGGTTAGCATAGAATTTCCTGCAGATTTTGTTTATTTTCATAAACTATACTTTGTTATGTTATTAATATAGTTATTTATATTATTTTCATCTTCTCTCTTCCTTTGTAATAAAATTAACAAACAGGTCTATGCCTTTGATCTTTGCTAGTCCTATACTGTTAGCAACATTACCGCTTAAAATGCGTATCATTAAATATTTACCAATCTTGGCTGCAGCTGTACCGTTACTGTTAACGAAAATCACGATTATGAGCAGCGGCATGGAAGCGGGTAAAACTGTTTACAATGGTTATCAATTTGCTACAAATTTCGTGTCCAATTTCGGGTTATCAGCTTTAATTGAGAATGAATGGCAACGATTGAATGTGCCTAGTGTGTTACGGGTATTTTGGACAATAAGGTAAGATCCAACGATGATGATCAATATATCGTGTGTTTTGATTTAAAAATAGAAATTTCTTCTCTTCAGAATTACTCAGGAATTTCTTGGCTTAGTTTTAAATGATCAAGTTAACGCAATGAATTTGATACCAACATCTCAGAAATTGCTCGTCGACGGTTGTGAAACGTTAACGGCCGTCTTGGGTATGACTTCAATTATTTCGGTGATTTGCCATTACATAGGCAAAGCATTTCAATGGTATCTGTTGACTTTCGAAAACGATGAAGAAAAATCATTAGGTACCGTTTCAGCGGTACTGTTTTACATATTGGCTTTACAGACTGGTCTAACGTCTTTATCACCCGATAAACGCTTCGTACGTTTATGCCGCAATCTATGTTTGCTCTTTACCGCTTTATTGCATTTTCTGCATAATATTGTTTCTCCGATTTTAATGTCATTGAGCGCGGCACGTAATCCATCACGAAAGCGTCATTTTCGTGCTTTAACGGTATGCGCTTTTTTAATAATTGCTCCCATCGTTTTATTAGTGACATTATGGAGTCGCCATTCACCTTCAACGTGGCTCCTCGCTGTTACCGCATTTTCAGTTGAAGTTGTTGTAAAGGTATTTTGAAAATCGATAGTATCGATAATGAAATTATCTCTAATTATGTACTATATTGTTATTAGGTTTGCGTGTCTTTGGCAACCTATTCATTATTTCTCTTGGATGCTCGCCGTCCATCGTTTTGGGAAAAACTTGATGATTATCTGTATTATGTACGAGCGTTTGGTAATTCTGTTGAATTTTGTTTTGGCATTTTATTATTTTTTAATGGTGCTTGGATCTTAATCTTTGAATCTGGTAAGTTTTTGCTTTATGTGCATTAAGCTCTAAGTTTCTCTTTTGCGGAATTCGTTCAAAGTACTTGCACGTATTTTGTGAAAGAAAATTCACAGCTTTATTTACGTTATTGTTATTATTATAAGTTTTAGTTTATTAAATTTTCATGTTATCGCAAAAAGTGTAGATATTTTATTTTAAATATCATAAATTTTCATAAGCTTTCGATAAACTTTGTCATCATAATAAGCATCATCATCTAGAACTCAGACAACTGATGAACAACGGAGAGGCAATTGTGAAATGATTAAAAAATTTCTAATTAAATATCAAAGAGATTTGTTCAGTTTGCTTATATATAATTAAATAATTTTTTTTTTTTTTCAAAATAACAAGTAAGAAAATTAGGCAAGTTTTGCGGCAAGTATTTGATGGACATTATTTCATTAAATATTATAAAGGTTAAACAAAGACACGCAATAAAAGTCAAGCATGTCACTTAACGTCAACTATACTAGATAATGACGACTGCAGAAACGCCCCTAAAAAATTACTTTGTGGTGGAGAAAAGCTTGTCAGAGAAGAATTTAAAGAGGAAAGACCTTCATATTTTCTACGTCCATGGCAAAGTTAAAGTAAAAAAAAAATACATTCATTTTTCATGCAGAGGCATTAGGCCGGCTCAATCTCGTCTCATATGCCTGCCATATATTACTGTGCAAGCGAATTTCAGCAATGATGGATCGTTCCATTTGGAAGCAGAATTTATATAGAAACGTTTGAAGTTTAATGTCAACAAAACAACGCCAGACAAGAATTCGTTCATGTTTCTGTCATTCCGTTCATTCATCCGCCCGTAGACTTGGACTTGTGGTCTTTCACAAATATTTCGCTATAATACTTTTATTCTAAAAAGGGTAATTAAAGCTTCTTCCATTAGAAACTTAACTTTCTTACTTGTTTATACTTTAACAACTTTTTGGGAAAAATGTTGTAAATTTCTTTTAAATTTTTAAAATATTTTCGATCTCTTTCATCTACAAATTGCTTTCTTGACGATCCAATATTTTAAAATAATTTTTAAATAATATAAAAAGAGAAAATAATCAAAATTTTAAAAGTATTCTCAATATTTCGAAAATGTTTTACAAGCAAACTCTATAATCCAATTTTCATAAAAAAAAATAATAAAAAAAAACACTTCAAATCTAGAAAGGCTTTTTCAAGCCTAGAGAAATGTATTTTTGCTATAAAGCAAAATAGAGGCTTTGCAGCAATCCCTTTAAATATTCAACGCCCTCATACATAAGCATATCATGCGAAGCATATATAGGGTTATTCATAAAGGCGCCCTTCACTTCAACCTCGTGCCATCTATAATATGCTTTGTTCCACTGACTGAATTTAATTTAATCTATAATAGGGTGGGATAAAGGTTCACTTGTCTGTTCACCCGTTGTGGCATCCAAAGACCAAAAGAAAAGTCCAGCATGATGCGAAGCATTTATAAGAATTATTTTATATTTCGCCCAAATCTATGTAATTTCTTAACGACATTATTAGAAATGCAAGTCGACGATAATTCATCTGTCTGCACTGAACACGCGTTTCGATGCAAAATGTCTCGAAGTTTTGCTATCATTCTAATTCTAATTTTGATAAGTTAACATGTCCGAAGAAATTTGCCTGAAGAATGGCAATTGAACAAGGAAGGGGCGCCCTATGAATGCAGAGACTCACCGCACCATAAAATCCGAAAATAAACTGTTTTGACAAGTTCATCTAACGACTAAAAAAAAAAAGCGAAATAGACGTTGCGTATGCATGTAAATTTATTTTTATTTGGTTGATTGGTACCGTATAATATAACTTGATAGCACAAAATGCTACAGGCGGCGCGATTAGAGCCATCATGATGTGCATACATGCGTACTTCAATATCTGGTGCGAAGCCCAAGCTGGTTGGTCCGTATTTATGAAGCGGCGTTCGGCGGTGCATAAAATTTCCGCTCTGCCAGAAGCGACGTCCGCCCAACTCCAGGCTTTCGACGATGTTTGTGCCATTTGTTATCAGGTAAGTTCTAAAAATGAATTAAACAAGTAACGATTGCATTTGTGTATCTGCTCGATCATAACGTTTTAGGAAATGTATTCTGCCAAAATAACACGTTGCCGTCACTATTTTCACGGGGTTTGTTTGCGTAAATGGTTATACGTGCAGGATCGATGTCCGTTATGCCACGAAATTATGATGTACACAGACAGACGTGAGGAAAGTGAAGCTGATCGAGCAGTTCATCAGCGTCATCAAGAACAAGCAGCAGGTTTAGCGGCGGCGGCGGCGGCGGCGGCAGCGGCAGCGGCAGCAGCTCAAAATAGTGAAGTACATGCATAATTTATAGGGTTTTCTTTTATACCTATTACATATCCTTTAAAAAGGCATTACAAGGATCCATTCCGGTTCATAGATTCGCTTCACATTTAATAAAAGACTGAAACAAGGCGCAAATATAATACAAAAATTTCAAAATTTTCTTTTTCTAATTAAAAATTTATAAACTAGCGTTTGCAGAGATTTGAAATGTAGAACAAATCAAAGTCGGACCTTGAAATTTTATCAAAAATGCCCGGGCTTGATGAAGGACTTATCACTGAAAAAAGTTCGGTTCACAATGAATGCGAAAAAAACTCAAGCCGCCACCTTTTTAGGATTTCTTTTATCAGACCTGAAAGCAAGATATTATGTTTTGTGTAATAAGTTGGCCCATGAGCCGATTGAAATTCATTCGTGCATCCAATTGCTGCGGCCTTCCATCGTGCTAACAACAAGAGGACTGTCTACAGACTTCTTCTCGATTTTTATCAAAAAAAAAGAAAGACAAAAAAAGTCGAAAAATCTGTAATATTTACTAAGGGTAATAGGTGCCCCGCATCTGTCACAAGGCAAATGGTTCTGTACTTTTTTTTCTGTCCATTTCATTGCTTTTCTTTTTAAATTTTGTTTCTTCAGCCGAGTAAGTTTTTTTTTTTCTTTCTAGGATAATAGCTTATCAGAAGCAGCGGAGAGTTCTTCAAATACACCCAGTATGGTTACGGTCAGCACCAGTGTTTCTGGCGCTAATCTAAATTCCGATGAAGGCTTCGTTACAATTACTAATACCATGAATTCAAATTCAAATAGCTCAACCTCCTCGACGGCTGCGGCTGCCACATTTGCCACAGCGGCAGCCAGCAACACTACACATAGTTTTCGATTTTCACGTAACCTTGGGATGCAGGATTAAGTTAGATATTTGTACATATATATACGTTTATACATAAATAATTATTTCTTCTAACTACTACTAGTGTGTACTTATATATATGTAAAAAAAAAAAAAAAAAAAAAAAGATAGAGATCACAAAAACACAAAATCCCAACCATATGCAGACATTAGAATGAACAGACACACGAGAAAGGAACAAACAAAAAAAAAAAAACAAATTTTATGACAACTTTTAAGAAATATTTTTGTGTTTAACAATTCTTACAAACAAAGGGGAAACAGTAGCAGTGGACGATGATGCTGTTCAATTATTGAGAAGCTTTGTTGCGACTAGAAATAAAGTAAAAAAATTTTTTTGAATTTCTTTTAAAAAAAAAAAAAAAAAAAATGATAATAATTCATAAGAAAAAGACATTAACTAAATTCAAGTCTGCCTCTTTATACGGTCTTCGGCCTTTGGCCAAGTTAGAAACTGGTTTTTTTTTTTTTTTGTTTTATTGAAATGCTTTTACGTTCTGCTATTTTAAAGTCTGACCAACAAAAGCGAAAGCAGCAATAGAGGCAACAACAAAATCTTTATACATATATATATACATATATATATATATATATATATATATATATATATACATACATATTTTTATTAAAACACAAACATTCTTAAAACAAAAGTTAAACGAGTATGTTTTTTACTCAATGGGCGAAGAAATTTAATATAAATACAAGTAACAAATTAAAAAAAAAAAAAAATAAATAAATAAATAAGAAATATATAAAACAAATATGTAAATTATTGTAAATGATTTAAAAACAATATACAATATATATAGATATATATATATATATATATATATATATATACATCTATATGTATATAGATATATACATATATACACACACAAGACATGTGCAAGCATATGGAGAATTATTTTAAGAAATAAAGAATAAATAAAAAGAGAAACAAATCTTAATTTTGAAAAATTTCAGTTGAAAATCAAATCATTGTAATTGCTTAGCAAATGATAGGGTGAGACGCGGCAACAGGTCGTTGTTCGCACTACCGTTACACGATCGGCTCGCTCAAAGTTCGCCTTAACGGTCTCATAATACCGTCCATCACTGAAAATAATTCCAAATTAAATTTTGCTTTTTAACATTTACACATACATACACTATTCAAATTATATGCATATTTCTGAGTCTCTTTACGATATTCAGGCAAATCGCGAGCCGGACAGGTCTATCAAGGTAAATGGAGCATGCTTTTTACTCCTTCATAGGGCATATTTATGGATGTTACGAAAAGGTAAATTGGGCGTTATTCTCTTACAAGAGGAATCTTATAAAACCCGTTAACCAGTTTTCTCACGATATAGGATTACTGTTCCAAATGTGGTGACACATGGCTCGTGAGCATTTGAAGAATTGGTCGATGTGTAGAAAATGGAGAAAATATCGACATAGAATTCTTAAAATTGTTGAGTTATTGAGATGAAAATTTATGAGCACGTGTACGCTATACTCTACGATCAATGGTGAATCCTACATTACGATCAAGAAAATTTTGAAGAACTTTTTCACGCAGTTGAAACTGCTGATAGCAAACAAAGCTTTGGAACTACGCTCGGAAAATGTGGACCTTAAAAAAGAACAAGAAGAAGTAAGTCACGCTGATACCGCCCGAACGCATGTATTTTAATTGATCGGTCAAAAATTGAATAAATTCGAAGGGATAGTTTTCAGCCCTTGACGGACTAATAGAAAGACTAAGTAGAATGCTTGGAGACACACACACACTCCAAGGATATAGTGCTTTAAAATCCACTAACACATCCTAGCAAGTAAAGAGAAAAACTGGTGCCTGGAAAGCATATCACGTAACAGAGTAGAAATGAACGAATCTATGTCGATTTAGATTATATTTTATTGGAAACCTTTCCTGACGACCTTGACATAGACTTAATGGCACCACTGACAATGAAAAGAGGATTAGGGTTTTCCGCACTCACCTCAAGACCATGCATCGCAATTTTAAACATTTCACACGCAGCAAATCGATTGCCTTTTGACTTTTATCCGAAAAACGTAAATTATCCGGATCCCATCTAAATATATAAAACAAAATATGTTTATTTCTTTCTTTGCTTTCAAAAATTTTCCAAAAGTAAGACAAAAACCAAAACATTACATAATGAAAGTAACTAATCAGTTAACTGTTTATGGCAAACACCTACATCGTGGTCCGTCCTTTCGTTCTTGTCGGATTTCCTTATGAAATTTTCGCATTATGAATGTGTATTTGCCATAGTAATGTGTTTTAGAAAATATCTTTGTCAAGTCTGCTCAGACAGTTAACTGGTTAATGCTTTCTTTGCACAAAACATGATTGCTTACAAGTTACGATCGACAACTGACCTTAATTCCAAACGTTCCAAATTAGCACAACTTGAAGCTATTGTATCCATTAACTGATCAACATGTATATTGACACCAAGTTTTTCCGAAGTCCCCATAACAAGAATTCTAAAATAGAACGAGGGCCAAGCTTATGTACTTGTAACGTTATAGTACAATATACATTAGTCACTTACTTGGCATTTGTTAGTACTGATAAAATACTCATCCATAATTGGTCGGTTATATGAGGCATGCCCGACAAACAGCAGGCGTATAATTGTTGGCCATGACGTGTAAGAAATTTCGATAAAGCATCATCGGTTATATTATCCGAAGAATCCAAATCTAATGCTATTACAGATCTGAAAACGAATTACTTAAAAGTGATTTTCTTATGCACTTGCAGCGCTTACCTAACATTTCCTGATTCCATCCATTGCTTCAAGACGGTATCATTAAAGCCATTAATTTGACCGGCCGCTAGAAATCTTAAATTTTGTAAACGCGTTAGCAAATCGACTAAGCATTCAGTTGATAAATCGGTGGCCGTTATATCCAATTCTTGTAAGGCGCATTTATCCCAATCAGCTTGCATAACAAATTCCGATTTCAAACTCGTGCCATTCATTAGCAAACAAGTTAAACGTTTCGAACGTTGGATTAACGTTTTCAATGTTGATCCTGTCACTTTATTACAAAAATTTACCGCTAAACATTCCAATTGAATGCAATTCGAGCTGAACGCGTCAATGTGCGAGTCATCGATAAAATTTATGCCGTACAAGTTAATGACACGTAAATTTGGTGTCGCGGACTTTAGTTTATGAACATTAATTACTTCATAAATTTCTTCCTCTTCTTCTTCGCATTTTTCATATGTACCAATCAAATGCAGAACTTCGAGACCGTTAATGAAATTGTAAATTTTACGCATGAAACCCTCCATAAAGATGACTTCCGATAAGCATATGCACATGTAACGTAACTTGGTGGGGAAAGCTTGCATCTCACTGAAATCATGCAATTGCATGGCTGAAACGAAAAAGTAAATGTAAAAAGCTTTTCGAAAAGATTCTTTTTTTTTTTTTTTTTTGAAATTACCTGTGGAAAAATCCAATAACATATGCGTCAAATTGGGACATTTACCGGACAATTCATGCAGCACGGTATGAGTAATTAATTCGATGGGCAGCTCTATGTAACGTAGAGTGGGCCCGAAACGGACCGCTATCAAGGATAATAGCGATTCCAATGAACCCACATGCAAGCCCGACACTTCGGGACGTAAAGAAACATTTTTCCATAATCTCGTATCGTATGCTATCTGACGCCAACGACGGCAAACGCGAGCCAAACGGCAAATCTCCCGATGCGATAAATATGAGAAAATTTGCAACAATACCTTGTCCGGTAATTTCTCAATTGTCTGCAATTATGATGATTGAATTATAAATTTAGCTGAAAAGGATTTTAACTTTTCCTAAAAACATTTTCAATTGCTTAAGCTTCCATTAAAGGGCAAGTATTTCATTTATCATTCAAGTCGGATCTGTTCGATTGGAGGCATTAATCTTCTTACGCACTTTCTTTTAAAAGACTCCGCTTAATTTAATTTGTTTTCATATAGTGCGTGTGCGGGTGCAATGCTATGACGTCTACGTAAACTTTCGCACATATGTATGTACTTTAACATTTATTTGTTAGCTTTTTTCTAAATTTAGAATTATTTATGCATCAGTAAGAACAAAGGTATATTAGTTTCATTAATCGCCTCGGCATATATAACAAATCCTTTAATCGATAGTTTACATAAACTGTAATACTATTTATTGTATCTCAACAGATTGGTTGTCTAATCTGTCGTGAATTTCTGAAATCGAAAACATTGTCTTGGGTACAGAGGCCTTTGGAGGACCTGCTCGTCGGTTTATCTATGCAACATTCATAACTGAAGAACTGACATAATTACTGTTTCGAAACTGCCTTTCATCGTATATCAAAGGTCCCACGCCTTAACATGCCCGCCACAGTCAAATTTGAAAGGGAAGGCAGAACTGTATTCGTTTCGTATTTCTATGGCAACTTTTATTTTTACTCCTATTTCCACTTCTACTTCTATTCGGCTATTACAGTGCAGATAGAAATAAGAATAGCAATAGAAGAGTGAATGTTCCAACAAGGATGGCCGTCGCAGTTGACATCAAAAAGTTGAATTTAATTTTTTTAAAGACCTGCCATCGCTCAAAAAATTCGAACTTGTAGCATTTCATCTTTAACCAGTTAACTGCGTATGACGAATATATACACCATATATACATACATTCGCCCGTCCATCCGTCCTTATCGGATTTCCTCATAAAATTTTATCATTATGAATGGGCGGCTGCTTCCACCGACTGCGCTGGCCGTAGCGACTGCGCTGCCTCTTCGTAATGGCTGCCTAAAGTTTTATGAGAAAATCCGGCAAGGACGGATGGACGGGCGAATGTATGTATATATGGTGTATATATTCGTCATACGCAGTTAACTGGTTAAAGATGAAATGCTACAAGTTCGAATTTTTTGAGCGATGGCAGATCTTTAACAAAATTTAATTTCAGCTTTCGGCCCTACTTTTGCTTCCTCCCTCTAGTGACAATAGCATTCAAACTGATGGGCTTTACGTTTCTTGACGTTGAAATCTTTTCCTTTTATTGATATGAAAATAGTGTTACTAGGGACTACTTAGTGAAAGTTTAAGTGATCTTTTCGCAATGCACAAGGAAGTGAGGAAAGAGATAGAAGTAGGATAATCGTGGCCGAAGTGTGGTGGGTATGTTCCCAATCTGTGAGGACATTTACTCAACACTAGCTACAGCTACGGCCCAAGTAAACTTCGGCACTGAGTTTTGAAGCCAAGGATAGTAGCGAAGCTTGGTAGTCATAACTATTAGCTAATTCGCTACTCACGTGAGCCTTGTTCGGTAGACAGGTCTGTTAATAGATATCAAAAGTCCTGTTAATTTTCATCTAATTACCTCTTACTCTACGCTATAGTAAAAATAGCGAGCATTTTTCATATCTTTAAAGTGCACGGTGTCCAAAATCTGTGATAATTCACTGAAAATTTTTATTTCATATTACGTATTCAAAATGAAAGGTGATCAAGATGCACCGTAAGGTGCATACAGTTTTTCCGTTCATTTTATTAAAATTTTTTTCAAAAGCCTTCACTTTGCTACGATATCGCGTTTATGGATATCTTGTAATCACATACCGTGTTAGCAAAAGGACTGCGAACCGTGCCATCGGAAAGATAAACTTGTGACGCTTCAACAGCCAATTGACCCCAAATGTCGGTAGATAAATCCATTATATATATGTATATATATTTTTATAGTTTTTTTGGTTTTTTCCTTTTTAAATAATCTCTTGAATATTATCCAACTTTTAATTATCCAAATCTTTTCTTCTTTTCTTTTATTTTTATTATATAATTTAAACTCACTTTAAATCCGATAGCAAACTAACTGAATTCTACGCTAGTAGATTACAATAAAGAAAGGAATCTCCAAAATCTTGAAAAAGAAATTGAAAATCTCTTAAAAAAAAATCAATTATCTATAATTAACTTTAAAGAGTACAGATATAGCAGAATGAGTAAGAAAGACGAAGAGAGAGCAGGAACTTTTTATTAAAAGATCTTTTGCATTGAATTAAAAAAAACATGTGCTTTCTTTACAATTTGTTTTTTTTTTTTTTTTAAATTTTTTTTTTATTTTTTAAATATAATTTTTGTTTTGTGTTCTATCTGCCTAGTCGAGCAGAAGTGCTCTTGCTCGGAGATGATAAATATTAAATAGAGAGAGAGAGAGAGAGAGAGAGAGAGGGGGGAGAGATATACATATATAGAGGGGAAGCTGTTCTCTCCACTTACCAATTTCTCTTTAGAAGCCAAATTGACATCATCACGTCCAATAGCCGAGGAGCTGGTTTGTGCCGCTAAAACATTCCAATTATCCATTCTTCATGTATGTATTATGTGTATAGTTACTTATTTTTTTTTTTTTTTTTTAGGCAAACAAAACTATCAACTAAAGCCAAATGTTTGTTGGATTGTTGTACTAATAAATTTATTGCTATTGTTGTTGTTGTCGATTTTTTTTTCTCTCTGAAGTGTAAAAAAGTGTTCACGGTATATAAAGGTAAACACTGTATAATGGATACGTTGGCGATCAGCAGCAGCCACTCTAAAAGGTCTATGGAATAGGATGTTTCCAAACAAAACAAAAAAGAATTGAGTATGTAATGGTTGTCATGTCGAATTTATTATCCATTTTTAAATACTTTTCATTTATGTTTACTGGCATAACATTTTAGGCTAAGCTTTAAAAAAAAGGAAAGGCCGATGGTCTTAGTTGCTTACGTTTATCCTGATTTTTAGTCCGACAACTTGTTTTTTTTTTTTTTTTTTATATAAATAAATTATAATAACACTAGTTAAAAAGCAAATTTTTTTCAAATTTCTACAGAGAGAGTTTCATCTTTCAATTATTTAAATCTAAGCAATCTTTGCTGGACTCTTTGGCAAATTTTCCATTGAAAAATATGTGAAAAAGTTAAAGTTGTACTATTATGTCCAAGAAGTAAGACCAATTTAATTTTTTCTTTTAATAGCCACCACTGTAAAAGGGGGAGTGTACTCATTATGTTATACCCAAAAGTAAGCTTCAGAGACCCTATAAAGTATATATTTTCTTAGTTTGAGCGTGAAATTCAGAGTTGATTTAGCCATGTCTGTCCGTCTGTGCGACGTCTCCTGTTGGTACTCTCGTGATCGCATAAATGAAAATATCGACATCTAATGTTGGCTCATCTAGTCCATTGCTTGTAACAAAAATCTCTCAATATTTTTTCCCTAAGCAAACATATTTGATGAGATGAGATCCAATATCCGTATACAATTCCTATCTTGCTCAAATTGAACACTGCCGAATTCTCGAGCGTCCTTAAAACACTTGTATACGAATCACTTTTAAAAATGCGCGCAATAATTTAAACTTGAGCCACTTTAAGATCACAAAAACTTCAGTACACACAATTCCATTTCTCAATTTATAACTTACGATCTTAAAATATCTTTTCAAGGCTTAATAAAGCGGCTTAAAATGTGAATGAAGACTTTCCTAAAAGACTTAAGTAAAAAAAGGAAGTCCTTGCTGCGATCTTGTACGTTGGAGTAAATTAAAAAAAAAAAAAGTAGTGCCTCTCTTGAAAACCAACGATGCTCCGACGTGTCAGCAGAAATGAAAAGTATTTAAAAATCGTTTGTTAATTTTGCGTGGTTTTCATATATGTTTATATTATTTATTATTTTTATTATATTATATAGGGGCATTGTCATGTTATCCAAAGGATCCAGTTTTTTTTTTCAAAAAACCAACAATTCTGAGAACACTTCTTCACATTTAATCGCAGATAGTTCTCCGGATTGTAGTTATTGTTGTTGTTGTTTTCAAAGCTAGCAATTCGTTTTGGTTTGTTTTTTTTTTTTGCTTTTGTTATTTATTCTTTTTATACCATAACAAGTGCACAAAACTTTGAGAACAAATAATTTCTCTCATGAAAGAAAATTTCTTTTAAATTCATGAGAATTTTTTGTTTGTTGCATTTTGTGTTCATTATTAAGTAACAGTCTTCTGGTTTATTGAATTATAAAAGCGGTGCGAAGGGGTTTTTTCTTGTAACGAAGGGAAAGAGAGAGGAGGAAGAAAAGCAATTTATATGCCTCATGCTCCCAAAAAGAAATGTACAGCTGGGTGGCTAGAATTTTTCGTAGCAAAGGTTTCTTACAAAAAAAAAAAAAAAATTCAAAAATTTCAATATTTACCCATGACTCGAGAGAATTAGTAGTAACTTAAAAAAAAACAAAAATAGATAAATAAATAGTTAATCTTTTATATACCAAAAAAAATAATAATAATAATAATAATAATATTTTTCATTGTTTCCGATTTTATTATTGCTTTCGCTTAAAGTGTTACTAAAAATACATATTCCAAGGGCTGGCGACATGCTGAGGTTTTTCCTTTTTTTTCTTTTTAAAGAAATATTTTCCTCTTTTTATTTTATTTTTAAGGAAATAATTACCTTTCCTTTTCTTTAGCTTTTTTATAGATTAAAAATTTACTTTGATTTCATACAAAAATTTGAATTTTTTTGTTTTGAAAATCTATTTATTATTATATTAATCCGAAACTTTGCATTACGCCATCAACCAAGCACTTAACATATGAAAGAAAATTTGTTTTTTCCTTTTTTTCTCGCTTGTTAGCTTCACTGCAAGTCCCGCACAACTGATTTCAAAATTTCACATTTTCGACATTATATGAATATTTCCGTTAATCTCTATTGTAATAATAAACTACACGATCATCATCATCATCGTCATTATCATCATCATCATCGTGTTCGTTATGCTCTTTATTTGTGTATTTGACATGAAGGAAAAAAAACACATGTCGAATATGTTCATCATTACGTATAATATAAAATATTTGTAAATTGTTTTTAACTCGAAAACAAAAATTGCATGTGCTCTGGTTATTGTTAGAAAAGAATAATTTTTTTCTTTTTCAATTTCAAATAATGTATAATGTAAATGCTTTGTTTTCAAAAGAAGTATTTTGTTTTTTTTCTTTTTTAACAATTGATGAATGAAATTTTTTCGAACTAGGTTCACTTATTAAGAGAATACAGCGACATTGTGAGAACTGTCTGTTCGGAAAATTTTCACATTATTCCTTTACGATTAATCAGTTAAGGGGAATATTATATTACTTGAGGAACCGACAAAACTATCACAAGAACCCCGATAGTCTTCACATTATATAAATCGTGGGTAAATACCTATAGCTCATGTATGGCCGGTCTGATCTCGCTAAAAAAAGAGGATACCATTGCGTTGACTCTCTCTTGGACCATAAGCCTTTTTCAAACATATCATCTTCCGTCTTATCCACCGATAGTTAATATAAAGTCCTTTCCAATCACTTCAGAAATAGAGGATACTTTTCCTAAGCACACTGTCGCTAGTGATCGCAAAAAAGAAAATACTATCGCAATGACTCTCTCTTCGGCCACAATATTTCTAAAAAGTTTCATGTTATCAATCGACAGGTTATGCTAAGTCCTTTTAAATCACCTTAGACGAAGAGGATATTTTTCCTAAGCACACTGTCGCAAGTGATCGAGTTTCAACATAGATTTGGAATGAAATTTGTATGAGGAAATTTTTTTGGGACGAGATCGTAGAGCTTTTGTAAAGTATTATCTTCAAGCTAGAGACACGGTACACAATTTAAAAGAATGCAAAGTCTTTTCTTTAAGCTTTACGCTTAGCGCTGCGCGGAACAAACAGCTTTCCACGTCCTGCTTAATAAAATGAAAGTATCAAAGTGTCAACTCGCTTAATAAACACCATCGAGGATGACTGGCCCTTCTCAGAAAATTTTAATTAAAATATCATTTACTTCTGCATATTATTTTTAAACTGAATTTCAAGCTTTATTTTTACATTTACAAAATAAAACGCAATCTATATCCTAAATTAAAAAAAATATATATATATATATTTTAAATATAAAATGATTTAATATCATCAAATAAGCAAACAAGCATCCGAACAATCTTAAGTAAATATTTATTTATAATTTAAAAACTCGCGCGACATTTGGCAAACACTGCATCGTATAACATTTGAAACCACTCTGAAGAATATGTTGAATGTATGTCAGCGGTACGGAACAGTTTAACTTTAGCGTCGGCGCTCAAAGGTGAGCATAAATAATAATTAATTGCCATTTCGGTTAACTCTAGGTGATAATTTTTCATAGACCATTCAAAAAGACTCAAACAATTATTTTCATTTAATAAAAGTATCAAAAGCTCTTGAATAATTTTCTCCATTTCGGGTATAATGTAAATGCGTGACATCTCGAAAGCTTCTAGTAAAGCGTAATATTTGTTTGCGGGCGGTATTAAATTCAACTTTAATTGCAATGATTGTTTTATGATTAAATGCAAGAAGAAACGTAAACCACTTACGGTATACGTATGCAGATGTATTTCACCTTCGTTACCTTCGCGAAAATCGCTATTTAACATTGTATTGAACACCTCACTGGCAGAGCAAAGTAAGTCCTTATTAAAACCCATTACTACGGGAGGTTGTCCTTTATCAGCTGGTTCCTGATGAACCATAAAACGCATATCACAATTGTCATGCATGGGTTCATCAAGATTTTCTATATACTCTTCATATTCTTTATCACGTTTATCTATCTCAATTTGCGGTATCTGAATACCCAATGTATATCGGGCCATGCACGTTAGGGAATCGACAGCTTCGGCGGTAAATTCATCCTCTTTATGACTTAGAATGATATTGAACAACAAAGATAAAGCATTGCCATCATTAAGAAATTGATAAAGCAATGGTTTACTCTTGATAATAAATCCCACTGTAATTGCGGCTCGTTTCTGAGATAGGACATCGTCAGATCGTAAAAGTCGCGCTAATTCTTCCTTGCCATAGTTACACTCACCAACTGAGGTTAAGGTGTCCAGTAATGAAAATCCTTCTTTCGCTAACTGCAGAAAATTAAAAAAAAAGAGATGATATTCATAAGATAGTAGAACGTAATGCAACTGAACAAACCTCTTTTATTTTAGTTAACTGACACAGTTGGTAGGCTATGCCTTGTTTAACAACTTGACCAAAGAATTGTGATTCTCTGAAATGCATCAATCAATCAATCAATTACTAAAGAAGTTTGAAGTTGAGGATAAGACTTTGGGAAATTACTTACAATAAAATATTAGTTAAAGATCCAGCAAAATCCATATTTAAACCAAACATGTTAATAGCCTTGATGAGGGTATTCAAAGTTTCCGGTTTACCCAGATCTATACCCTTTTTAACCATGTAAGTAACACGGAATATTAAATTATCTATAATATCTATGGCGTTATGTGGTAGATTTCCAATATTTGGCAGTTTTAAAGCAGGAACATCTGCAATAGACTCAAATATTTGTAAAGTCTTGCTTTCAATATTGCAAAGCGTACCTTGGCTAACTTCATCGTCGTCTTCTTTATCCAAGAGAATATTATCTTCTAAAGCCTCGGGTCTCGAAGCCAAATCTAAAAGATTCATTATAACCGAATGGTTATCAAGATTTGCATTAGGATTCGTATATAAATTGCTAGTCTTATTGTCATTGTCATCGTCACCATCATCATCGTCATCATCATCGTCGCTGCAGACAGGGGAATATGATTCTTCATCAAAGTCTAAAAATGTGATCCGTAGTTTATTATAACTCTATTTAACATAATCTCGGTTCATTATGGATATTTACCACCAGCCTTGGTTAAATTACCACCCACAGGAGACATACTGCGAGAACTGCAAGGACTTGGAGGACTTATTAAAGATCTGGGGGATCCACTAGGCGAATCGTAGTCCAAATTAACATCCTCGTGCACTTTGGGAAACTGCAAAAAAAAAAAGGATTAAATCAATTACGTCTGCATTTTGTAAGATATAATATTACTTTGCATTTAGTTTCTTTAACAGACTCTGTAAGCTTTCTTTTCTTCGTCGATTGCAATTTTTCCTCACGCTTGCGTTTGTAGTACTCTTCATCGCTGTTTATGAAAGACTGTAACTCTTTAATTAAAACCATTATCAAGCCTTCACGCAACATTAAATCCATGCTCATGTTGTCGTACTGGAAGTTAAGGAAAACGTATAAAATCTAAAATGAGAAAAAAAGAAAAACTTTAATTTAAGTGAGATCTTATCATATGAGATATTATGGCGTACTGAGGTCTTCTCCGAGTGGGACGATGATTCGCGCAGCATAGCTATCAATTTTCTTAGGGCACCTGATCGCCGTATTTTTGAACGATTGCATGCATCAACTGATAAAATACTAACGATATTTATACAATGCCTAGTTTCACTTTCACTTAAGGGCTTCTCTACATTGTTTACGAGCAGTTCGCAAGCAGCCAGTATAGCATCAGCAGAGCTGAGTGTATAGAATGCTCCTGGGTTTTTCGAAAAATTTGATAGTATTTTTAAAGCCACACTTCGATGTTTATTGTCTTCAGAAACAAAGTACACTATGGGGGCGAACGAACACGATGCGCGATTTACAGACTCCCAAACTGGCACTGATAATTGCAATTCCGACAAGACTAATAAACATTTTAAAATTTCGCAAGCTAAATCAAGTGCGTCCTTTTGTACTGGCATTGCATATGTATTTGATGAACGTGAGGAATTCTTTAAGACTTCATAATCAAAGATATCGCTACGCACTCCTTCAAGATTACGAGCCACTTCTTCGAAGTATTTTTCGCGATGTTGATTCCTCTTGAGACCCAATTTCACCGAATCTTGTGAGTCTGTTAAAAGTTTTTCTTCTTCATTTACCCGAGCTTCAGAGTTTTTCATAATTGAAAATAGTATGCGTAACAACGTATTGAAGCCCGAAAATTGCAAAAAATATTTGGCAAACTGAGGATTGCTTAACAGAAAACGACAGGCTCGGACAGCCATCATCCTTGTCTGGACATCTGAACTATCTTCTATAATTTGACACAAAGCCTTGGCTAAAGCTGGACTATGCGTGGCCACCAGTTGTGTGTCGACTTTAGCCAAATTCCCTAATAGACGGCAGGCGCGACATTGTATTTGAGGATTTGGTATTGATTTTAATATAACGGTCAGAGGTGCTACAATTTTGTTGTCCAATGCCTGAAATATTAATGAAAATGAAATAATTGAATATCATTTTTCTAAACTTGATTATCTCACCTCTTTACAGCTGCTCACATCCGTACAGCAATTACCCATGATGCTGAGAGCAACTTCCAGGATTTGTTCATGTGGTTTATTAAGAAACCGTATCATTTTCTGTACTCCACCTGCCTCCCTAAACAAAATAATGCCATCCCTGTCTTTAACACAATCGGTACGCAATTTTACGAGTGCTCTTATAACAACTGACTTATCATTTGCCGTATTTACTACCGACAGAATATTTTCCACCAATTCACGATTCATTTTAATCTAATTTATGTGCACTCTTCATTTAAAATTTTGCAAATAATATTGGAAAAACTAATTTTCTTTATTTTCCTATGGAGAAAAAAAGTTGACGGATAAATCGATAACAAAACAATGAGAAAAATCATTAATAGAGATGAGAGCCATTTGGATTCTATTTAGGCAATCAAGAATATTATGGAAAGTATTTGTTAGTAATAAAATATGCATCGCTGTTAAACGTTAAAAATATCATTGTCCGCGTAAAATTTCAAGGAAATTGCCGATTTACAGTGATTTGTTGAAATATATTTTAATTATATGATTAAAGTGATTGTTATTTAAGTTAAATTGTATATTTTATTAAACCGCAATGTGTAGTGCAAGTCTTTCGATTGTGTTCGTCATAAAATAAGGCATATATGTACAAATGCCAAATAGAAATGTAAGTCAGAAAATTTGAAAGTTATAATGAAGGATGAAGTAGTTATGGCGGTTGTTGGGCGATTCCTTTAACATTTGCATAAATATTTATACACGGTGTGGTTAAATAGATAATAAATAACAGATTGAAGATAACTTTCAATTTTTTGAAGATTTTCAATTTTTTAAATTTGTTCAAATATTTTTCATTAAACGAAATTAAACATGGCAGGTAATTTCTTGAGTGATTCCTCATTAAATAAAATGGTAAGGCAGGTAATTTCTTGAGTGATTCCTCATTAAATAAAATGGTAAAACGAAAGTTCTTCATCTTTGAAAAATATTTTGTCTTGCGCGTACGGCCAATTATCATGTACATAAAATGTAAGGTATTAATTTACTTGAAATTTACTTTTGATTCAATTTTCTTATCTATGTATAGTCTAAATAAATATCTGTCATAAAGCAATTATCATCTTAAGCGTGTGATTTAACATTTAAGGTGGTTTCCCATTCCGGTTTCAATAAAAGTCCAAAGTACACCCATTAAAAACTCTCATTGGCCGGAGATATTAAGCAGTTTTAGACCATACATAACATTTGCAAGAATTTTCAAAATCGCGAAAAGATAATATTTGGGACATGTATGCTTCGAGCAATTTTGTAGGCCAATTTTAAAAAAGTGCAACTTTGCGTTGATATGCATGAAAATAAAGAAATTCCTAATATCCAAGCAATAGCCACTTATCTAAGGCCAATATTTAATAGGACTACTAATTTTCTTTTGTATATTTTGAAAAGTAATATTATCGAAATTTTCGAACTCTAAACAATCAGTAATCAGTAGTCGGACTTGAGAACATGGCAGTCTGCTGTGTGAACAAGTCTCTACCGTGGAAGTCATCGTATTGGACAGTTATTAGCTGGATTTGGGAACATGGCAGTCATACCTGTCGTTATTTTTTCTTCGCTCATTAGCTATCTAGATCCTGACCGAGTTATCCTAGTACAATAACAACGGGCGTTAATTAGCTGGCGGTGCGTCTCCATGTCGATCTTGAACCTGGGCGTACTGTTTGTCTGTGAAGTTACGATTCAATCGGATGTTGACCTGAAAGACGATGGAGGGTCTAGATACGTATTATCATGGTCAAGAGAAGTGGTATATATACGGTATTGGCGTCCTTTTTTGTTACCGATTAAAGCTCTCCAAGGCCGAACTCGTGGAAATAGTTCAGTAAAAACTCATTCATATCGCGTCTTCAGGCTTTATTTCGTTGGTCAATAAGTCCGTTGGAAACTTGTTCTGGAAATTCTTCAGCAGTAAAACCAAATACTATTCTCCAAAATATCATGAAATTTTATTTTCCAAAAATTTTCATTTTCACTTAATATTATTTATCATAAGTTTTTTAATCGATATTTACGATTGTCCAGCCGATGATTTTTTTTTGTTTTCTCTTACACCATTTTCCATTTATTTTATTCATGTTAAAAAAGTACAGAAAAGAAAGTGAAAAGTTTCCTAAATTTATTCTTAACATTTGTTGGCACATGTTTTGGGGGAGGAATGCGGGCGAAGCAAGATGAAGCACTTGCTGTTAGGGTACGGTAGAGGGGTGTGCGGGGTAGGCGAGATGAATGTACGAGGAATAGAGAAGGCATATGGGATCCATAAAGGGAAAATGGGAAAACGTAAGGTGACGGAAAGATTAGACAGCACTGTTTAACATATTTATGATAAATATTTAATATATGTATATACATATATATGTACGTATATATGTAGTTAAATTAAAATAAGTCTCCAGAGCAACATTATAATTTACAAAGCAATTATCTGTTTATCTGTTATAAAAAAATTAATCTATATGTTCATAAGTTTGTTTGCAAGTTTAAGCGAAAACACTTCCTACATAATTACACGTCTATGTAAATCTTGCTTGTACCGCTATTCTAGCTTTTAAGAGGCAAATTAATTTCCTACTATTTTTATATTTATATATTTAGATTTGCAATACTTGCACATATATAATACATAGACAAGATCAACCGTAATCTTTTGTAATTAAGAATGACAGGAAAAAAGTTGTAAAAGCAAAAGCTACACTCAAGTCCATTTGTCTTTATCTCATAATGAAATTCTCAGTTCCTCTCCAACACTTATTCTTATTTTACGTCATATTCCCTAGGATTTCTTTCACATTTTTGGACCACAAAGTAAAAATAACATGCATTAGTTAATATTTAATGTAACTTAAAGTGAAGACGACAAACGCTACAATTCAAGTCCGTTTATTGTTCTCCCGTTGGTGGCGGCTGGCTGGCTGGCTGGATAGAGCGATAAAAATTCAAAGGCTTGCCTGTCTTTCTTATATGCCTGGTTGTCTGTAGTTTATGCATTTATTAGACTTCTTATCGTAACTACTACTACAACTAACAATAATAATAATAATAATAATAAAGGGAAACCTTAATATTAAAATGAAATTCTATTCAAACTTAATATTAAAATTTATTTACCGTTAATAAATTAATTTGTAATTAGGTGTGTTTATGATAATATTTATATGTGTATATGTGTGTGCGTGTGTGTGTGTGTTATAATGTGTTATTAATTAATTAATTATCGGTGCTGGCATGTATCCGTTGTCTTGTCACATTCCCATTTGGCGTTGTTACTGATCCGGTTGTTGGCGTTGTTGCCGCCAGCGTCGTCATTGTGCTAGCGAATTTTGTGTTACCATTAATTTCAGTGTATTTCGCTATGTTACCATTTTGTTGAAGTAGTGATGATTTTAAAATTCCATTAGGATGACCATTATTTTTCAAGCCGGCCGCCGCTGCTGCTGCTACTGCTTTATTCTTCTACGACAAAAAAAGATTAAACTCTGGCACTTTTTACTTTCATTTTCATTTTTAATTACCTTTTCCGAGTTTAAATACCTCGTCTTATAGAAATTCGTAAATAAAAAGTAAAACATAAGCGCATGAGCTCCAATAAAGTAAGCAAAACCAATGGGATAGTTGCAATCGTTTTTAAAGAACAATTGAAACGAATGTACCATAACCAAGACGAATTGCACCATTTGTAGAAGCGTTAAGTATTTCTTCCACCATAGGTATTTTTGAACTTTAGGTCCCATAGCCGCTAGCATGTAATACGTATACATGACGATGTGTACAAAGGTGTTGAGAAAACCGAAAAATGTTGAATGACCGCCCGGTGTGTATTTAACGCCCCACCAAACTGAAAATGGCATAATGCCATGATGTATCACATGCAAGGTGGACACTTGATCGTAACGTTTTCGCATCACAAAGAAGAATGTATCGAAGAATTCTGTAAATTTTGAGAAAAAATACCACCAACACCCTCGTGCCGTCTGAAAAATGCAAAAAAGAAAAACAAAAAAAAAAATTACAATTAAAAACTTTTTTCCAAAAAAAGTACTTATGGATGATTTAAGGGGCAAAATACCAAAGTGTGTTGTTATAGAATATATAAAGAATTCCTGTAAGCGAAAAAACTCAGTTTGCAGCCCTTCTACAGAGAGACTCCCATAAGTTGTTCTTTTCGTAATTAATAAAAAAAAAAAAAAAAGAAGAAAACCGGATGTAAATTTTTCATATTCAGTGTTTCGAAAAGGCTCTTCTCTTCTTTTATATGATTTGCAAAATAACGAAAAAAAAAAGGTGAATAAAATTAAAGATGACCGATACACGTTTCTGTAGAATTTCGTTAGTCTTTCATAATTCTAATTTGTTTATATGTGTGCGTACGTACGTATATACGTTTATGTACACATCGTAACTGTATTTGCTAATATGTTATTGTGTAAAAAACAAAGTACTTGTAAACAAAGCTATTGTTTTTTATTTTTATTATTATTATTATTTTTTTTTTTTTTTTTTTGCTCATATGGATGGATCTTCACTAATTGCAAGTTAAATACAAAATCTATATTCTCTGCGTTCTCAATTAAGTGGCAAATCGAAAATATTTAACAGAGATTGTATTGCTGTGCAAGTCATCTTATAAAACAATTCAACGAAATTTATCAAATTTAATGATTTTTCAAAAATCTTTTAAAATGACAATTAATCAAAAGTTAAACACATTTTAATGAGAGGTTAAGCAACTTAATTTGCATAAACAAAGTAAATAAATAAAACCTGCTTGAAATTTGTTTAAAGTTAATTCTTTTTATGACAGAAACGTCAAACAAACGAGGCGGACTAAGTTCTGTCATTATATAATTGTAGCATCTGAAGAAAGAGCAGGCACAGTAAACAAAATGAATTGCTGACGCTCGAGCTTCCGTACATCGAACAAGTAACAAAATTACGAAATCGAAAGTTATAGAAGAAAATTGTTGGTCAGTTTCTTGTTCACTGTGGTTGTGTACGCAGGCAGATTATATCTATTTATTTTTTACCGATCAAGGAATATTTCGTCTCACATGTGAGCTTCCTCTCATCAGTTTTGCAACTATGGCACGTTCACAACGAAAAGGGCATCGAAATGATCCCTATTTGCCAGAGATCGGTGCATCTCTACTCGTTTAAAGACAACAACGTCTTGTGTCATTCGTTTTCCTTTAGCAAGAGATTATGGAGCAAACGTTGCATGGTGAATGACATTCTAAATTATGAGATCACAAAAAAAAATCTGAATGTGGTGAGGCAAACAGGGTAAGTTTTATTGCCACCAAAAGTCAAAGTTGTCTTCTAACGCAAAGAAAAAGTCATGGTCAGCCCTTCTATTTTGGTGGCGGCAAGAGAATCGGTAATCCTTAATATACTGGGCATGAGAATACAAAAAGATGGTTGTTGGGCAGAAAATATGTTCGAAATGTCGAAGGAGGCAGTCAAGGGCTTGCGTTTTTTACAGCAGTGCAAGAAATGCTTTGCCGATATCAGCGAAAAGTTCAGACACTCATGGGCAACGAAGGTATATTCGAAACTCTTTAGCATCGGCATAACTTGGGTTCCCAGAGATAAAAGGCATTTATCCATTAATTAAATGCTTCAACAGGATTACAGGGCTTTTTCGGCGTTTCGTCCGCTCGTTCTGAAGTTACCTGTATACCTCACAATCCTTTCCGCGAGTCATTGTTCTTTAACTTACCAAAAGTGATCTTTCGTACCGTACCTGACTTCTCCATTTTCAAGCAAACACTACTCACTTACCCTTCTCTTCCTATAAACCTTCTTGATCGCCAACGTGCCCGCACGTGCAAATGGCGTGCTTGGCCATAGAAAAAAAGTAATAAAAGGAAACATCGGTAGATCTAGGGGGTTCCCATCATCAAATAGTTAACAACGCTAATTGATGAAATCATGGGAAACTTAAGACTCCTCTTCTTAGGGTATCAAGTACGTGATTTGTTTCCCTTATTCGTCTATTAGGGTAGAGTAGGCTAGGGTTCTATTAGGATCTAAACTGCTTACAACCGTGTTGCAAGTTTGAAATAAATACTTGGACACCTTATGCATACGAAAATAGCTATCGGTTAATGAATTCCCTTATCTTCTTTCTTTTTTATGGGGTCTTGTCCAAATCACATGTAAACTTTCTTTGCGGGAATAACCTCAAATACTCGAAACTGCCATAATTTTCTTGTATGTGTGTATACGTTGAGTGCGTCTGACAAACGCCTAAAGCCCATGTGCACTATTTTCCATATTTTTATGCTCGAAATACTTACTCTAAGAGCTTCAGGTGTGTATGAATAATCCACCGGTTCGCATCTGAAGTTGTAACCATTTAACCAACCATTAAGGCTAGCCTGAGATGAAAGAAATTAAAGCAAAATTAAAATAAATTAAAATTATTCCTCTTTAGTTACGAAAATGAGATCATGAAAAGTGAAGTAAGTAATTACCTCGTAGAATAACCAGGCACTGAATAACACTTGAGCGAAATTGTAAACAACTAAAACTGTTCGCAGTTGAAATGGTTTTCTGTTTTCCATCAATTTTGGACCCAATACCTGAAATTGATAATAAAAAATATAAATAGAAACAAGTGTAAAAGGAAACTAACATAAAATTCATAATCCATTCATTTAAGAAATGATATAAGCCTGTCTCAGTTGAGAGCTAATTTAATTAATTTAATCAATCAATAATTTCCCTAGATTAGGAAAGAGAAACAATTGTCTTATATAACTCGACTTTACATGCCTTCTCCGACGTTCAGTCAACGGTCACTTTTTCTAACATTTTATTATCTTTTTTAGGCAAAAATTTGTTTAGAGCAAGGTTACCCTTTAAAAAAATTAAAGAGAAAATTACGTTTACTTGCGGCCGAATGTTTTATACCCATCACCTTTATCCCAGAAAACTCGGAAAAAAAAGAAACTAAATTCTGATATTGGGTCGATTGCTCCATAGAATGTATGTGTGAATTTTTATTGTTGTATCTGATGTAGTTTATGAGTAATCGGGTACAAAGCCAATTATTTTGCTCTCGAGTTTATGTTGTACTGCAGATGAGGTTTTTGACGGAATTCTCCCATTTTCAATACCGATCTTACGGGCATGATCTTCCAATAGTTTTGCCAAACTTCAAATTGATAACTCAATTTTTTCTACCGGCAGCATGTTTACCAAAGGATCAAAAGTACTTAGATCAATTTAGAATATGCTACACTCATCAACAGTATATATACATGATAGAGTTTAGAGACTCTAATAAGCTTTCCCCTGGATGTAGCAAACACTTGAACGTAAATGTGAATACAGCACTCCTTCAGTATTGACTGTAAGGAAGGACAAGAGCTATAGATTCATCCATTTTTTATAGCAATCCTGATCGTCTTCTTCTTCAGAAGAATTTTCGCTGATTTTTGATCAAATTCATCGGTCATTTATTAGTTAGAGGATTCCGTAGAAAATCTCACCATTTCTGAAAGATACGATAGCATTGAAGACAGACACGGGCAGAACGATAAGGAAAGATTAAACTCTCTGAACAAGGATCACCATATACCAACTAGATAAAGAACGGTGAGACGCGAGGAGGTTGTGTTTTCGACCAATTGTAGTACTTTAAGCAAAAAAAATGTTTGTAAAACTGTTCAAAGTTAACAATAAGACTTACAAAGGTCCTATTGGAACGCAGTATAATGAATCTATAAATTTTCGCCATATGGCTTACTTCGGACAATACACATTGTGCTCGGACGTTCCTGATCTAATTGCCTGAAACTCTTTAGCTCTATCCTTTCAGATGTTGTCTAAAACGTATGTAAGCTAAGTGACAATACATTAGATGTGAGTGAGGTGACGTCTACATTGGCATCGAACCTTTTCTTTTATTATATAGAAATATAGTCATTTCTTTAAATAGTTGAACGCTTTTTGTTAAGAGGAGTTTTGTAGCTCTTACTTGACTTTTGCCAAACCATTGTTACTTATGTGAATATTTGTTTGGTTTTTTGGAATTTTAGTTACTATAATTAATAAATACGACTGATAAAAACTATTCGGCAACGATTTATTCACTACATTTTTTCCTTTCAATAATAAGAAGAAATCCTCCTTAAAGAGATTAAGAAAATTGCTGAGTAATTTTTAGACCACATAGCACACGACTTTCAACTTAAACGGCTAATTTCATCTAGGACTGAAGCTTATCTTCCGTCCTTCCTTAAACATAATCGTTTATAGTAACTTTAGTAAAAACTTTATAAAAAATAATTAAGCGAAATGAAATCGATCTGTGCGTAATTATTTACATAAACATACGCATATTATATATACTTAATATTCATTGAATTACTTTGGTTAGCATACACTTCACTAGTTCAAGTTTATTGCTTAAGTCTTTCTTTCTGCTTTTCGTGCGCATATGATATTTCACTTGACATAATCTTTAAGTTTCTGTTATAGGTAAGTAAGCATTTTTCTACTCGCTTTTAATTGCCTTAAGAACTTTTGTTCAACCATTCCTTTGTTTTTTTTTTTTTTTTTTTAAGATTGCCATAAAGATAATATTGGGTTCTTTGATGGCCCTGAACTTTCCAGGAGAAGCTCTATAAAACTGCCCAAGTTTGTAACGAGATCATAAAAGAAACTTGTTTTCCTTTCCTTTTTTTTTTTTTTTTTTTTTTAATTTTTTCGTTTCGTTGTTTTTCTCTCAAAAAGCTCTGGGTTTTTTCCAAACTAAACAAATCGTATGCACAAATCTTTTATGTATTATGTATATACGAACCCTAATATTAAATTCATTATTCAACTGTCCTGTCTACTTATGTTAAAGGGATAAATGACTAAGTCAAGTTAAGTAGTATAGTTAAAGAATAAACAAACATTGTTATGCTTATGTCAGTCAGTATTAATTACTTGTTTAAATTAAACAATTTATGGTATACGATATCAATTTGATGATATGCTGTTTAATTCGGTTGACTGAAATCCTTTCATTATAATTTACCTTAACAAAATACGCATACGATAAACAGATGGCAATGGTGGGAAAGGGTGAACTCATTAGCGGATAATCTTTAGTTCTAGGATCTGCTTTATTTTCCATAAGGTCTCGCCAGTAATCATAAATTGAACTGATGTAATCCTGTAATAAAAACAAAATATACGATAATTAAAATATTAACATTGTATGTTAAACGTTTTTAATAAATCATTGAGAATATATATTCATTCATTGATTTATTATGGTTACACTTATATGATGTTTTAATGTTTCTACTTAATAATAGAATGGCTTTTACAATTTCGCAAGCATAAATGGAAAACAATAAAAAGAATTATATTCGTTTGCAAACGTATTATTATTACTATTATGATTTATTTAAACAACATGTTTTTGTTTTATGTATATTTAGGAGAAAATCATTTTAATCTTCCATACTTCGTGGGTGTTGTGTTAGTTAGGTGATAAAATCCTAATTTATGGGATATTATAGAATCGTTATAAATCGTATTCGTTATTGTTTTCGGTTTATGTTTTTCGCTTATCAAAATCTTGAGGCTTTATAGTGAAAAAGTTTTCATTGCATTCAAAGCATTGCCATTTGCTATGCACGACTCTTTTCCCATTCTTCTCTAACAAAAATCATTCTTGTCTTTTAAAACTATTGACAATTTTTGGATATGAACTTTTTATTCATTGCATTTTTGTGTAGGCAGGCTTAAGGGCATTTACATCTTACATCACATGTAGTACAAAGGTTTTTAAAATTTGTGTGAATGTATGCGTAGCATTTCATTACATTGATCGTTTCAGTATCACTTTCTGCATTAATCTGAGCTTGTCTGTCCGTCCGTCTAAATTATTTCTCGAATTTGATGAAATTTGTTTCACCAAAATATTTTGGCTTGAGGATGAGCGCAATCAAAAATCGTTCGGATCGGACTCCTTTCTCTATCACTTTCCGTATAATAACTTATTTTGAAAAATCGCTATATGAATAACTGTATTGAGTGAAGTGATGGGGGATATTTATGGGTGGGCCGTGTCCATTATAGTGTTTCTATTTGTTTTCCAATTACTTAAAAGGATGGATAAAGGAGGTCGATTTAACGTTCTAGTTGGCAGTGTCTGCGTCTGCAAAGAGAATTAATTATGCAATTGCGTTGATACAAGAAGAGCAAGAAGAGTAAGCTATTATAACTGCAGTAGATAATTATTGTAAAATAATTATAATAGTAAGTTATTTGTACGAAAACAAAAACTTGACCTTTACTGCATTCGCTATATTTTTAAGCAGTGGCTAGTAAAGTCTTAATTTATTAAAAATGAAATATGATATAGCAATTTCCGCGTATTCCTATCAGATTTGCAATGATAGAATATCTCTTTCGATCACTTTATAATTATACATTTTTATTGAAAAGTCTATGCAATTATTTACAATTTTTATATTCATCATCAAGGGGAATAACTGTCAGCGTCTTTTCGTCATGACGCACTCAGATAATCAAAAAAAAAAAACCCCTTCAGCAAACAAATTCGACTTTGATTAAGTTAAGTGCGTCTATTACTTTATATGCTTAGTGGCTTTGTTATAAAAAGTTTCCAAAGTAAAACTTGATGAAAATTGTAATTCCACACTACATACTTTTCACAGTTCTTAAGTTTCTGTCTTTGATTTTATTGTCTAATGAGGAGATTACAACGTCACACTTTATTCTCTTTATATATATATATGCATATATATTTATATATAATTATATATAATTTATAATATATACAATAATATATAATTTTTGTTTCAGGTGCTGCCATGAATTAATTGTTGAAGTGAAGTGCACATAAATATATAAAATTATAAAAAAAAAAAGTTTTTCTTTAACCAAAGCGAAAATACTTAAAGCCGCGCCACAATGATGTAGCGTCAGCGTCACTGATCAGTGACTTCGCTACTGTTGCAGAGAACATACGGTCATTAAAATTATAATGAATTGGTGGCATCGCCATTTTCCTTGATAAAACGTTTCCATATATAAAAAACATAAACGTATCATAGCTGACCAAGGCAGCCATTACTTGACACAAATCTTCATTTATTTTCAATATAAAGTATAAAAAAATACCTACATCTTGTTTCCATCTAAAGACATGTTTCTATTGATAACCCTTTTAGGGAAGGGACTCCAGCATGTGAACTACCAGGGTTTAAATTTTTCTTGTCAAAAATCTTGTTGTATAGAAATTAAACCATTTTGCCTTGTAAAGATTCTTCAACTGAGTACTCAATATATCGAACGCAGACTTGGTAGTCGCAATTCTTATCTACTCGTCCGGAGTATTTCGTAAAAATATTTCAAAACTTGCGCTCTGTAGACTGAACACAAGAAAACATTGACAGATAGACAAACGAATAGATTGGAAGACAGAAAGATAATGTCAATTAATTATCTTGAATTGATTGGTATCATTAAGTCATTCTGAACTGTTTCATATATTCGTGCAAACTTAATATACCTTAATATACCAATTTAAATCCGTTAAATTAAACTCAGTGTATAATTTTAGTGTTTTCCTAAAATTAACAGATTATTGCCGCTGATCACTGACGTTGCGTCATTGTGATTCACTTATAAATATTCGCTGGAGAGAATAAGAAAAAATTATAATAAAATATAACAGACGAAGAATCGTCTCGTGTGGCCATATAATGTAAAAATAAGCAATTACAACACGCCCCCAATGTGATAACGCGTTATAGTACGCCTCGCAAGAGTAAATCTTCTCGATGAAAAGGTATGTACATTTGTTCATTTAAGAGCCAGTAAGTATAGCTTATTTGCAACAAGTATTTATCATGATGGAGCTGAGAAGCATACAAATAAGAATAAAAGCGCATTCAATTTTTTCATATATTAATGTTTACAGGTAGACATATTTATGAGTTTACCTTAAGGCGTTTACTTGTCTAAATTCTTTTACATTTTGCTGATGAAATGATTAAAAAAAAAACAACATTGTAATTATATTTTGTATCTTATTGATATCAAGCCAAGCCAAGGACTGCTCACTGTGGAGTCAATTTGAGGTTAATAAAAATGATTGAATGAAACTTAAAAAGTTTGTGAAAAATATTGACTTCATTGCAGGAGCGCGCTCCAGTAAATTCTAGCAAACCGATATACTTTCTATGGCAATAATATATTTGCGTAATAGATTTCTTCTTAATAAATTACAACTGAAAAAGGACATAGGCAATACGGCCAAGACAGAAATGGCGAAGATTGTTTCGAATATATAACTAAAGTACAGTAAGTACTTTACTTAGTACAGGCACAGCCATTCTTATAAAGGCATTCAGTGCGGGAAAGGTAAAAAATAAGGAAATGGGAACTTTTTTTTTAAGATTCATCACGCAGGAGATATCCCCTGCATGTGTAGAACGATGATGATCCGCAAGATGTGGGGAAAGAGATAGAGAGAGGCCTCATTTAAGTGGATGTGTGTACTATCGATAAGTGTTATGCCTTTACTATCTGCAATGAGCATTCATTATAATGGATCGACATTGACGAATACTGTTTTGATAGTCGCGAAACCCTATCTACCCGACTAGACGGCAATCCCGTTGCTTATTGTGCGTGCTTATAGAAATAATATCCTGAACTTTTTATTATTATGTTCTTTAGATATACTTATACCATATCGTCTAGTAGTGATTGGCCTTTCTGCCTTTTCTGATATTTCGAAAAACACATAATATCATAATTTCGATAATAATCCGTGAATCGTAAATGAAGTGATTACTGTCTGTACACCCTCTATACGTCACTAACAACATTTTTAAGTAATGTGTTTATTGCGATTGCGATTCTTTCAATTTTTCCGTCGCCAATAATAGGTGTTTAATAATAATTATATGTACGTAAATTAAAACTGTTGTGTAATTACTATCGAAGTTTAATTTTTCAATTACAAGTAGTTTTCCACTATAAATCTACTAAGCTGAAGGTGATAATTGATTTCTATTATAACAATTTCCTATTGAATTATTTTGATTAACCTTTCTAATCTCGTGCATAATATATTTTATTTATATTATTCCGTGCACTAACACCATTTAATTTTAATTAAATTGAATACAAATATTTTAACCAATATTTCTCTTAATATGCTAACTATACGTAAACTTGTGATATCGTGTAAAGATTAAAATTATTTAAGTCATTTGTTTGCGTTAATATTAACAAATTTGTACGTGGACCAAGTACCTGCGAACTATTACTGCTATCTTGTAAATTAATAGAGAAGAAATCATGTTAACTAATTCATTCAATCAATTAATTGATGGACAAATCATTTATTTAATCAAACCTTTTGTCAATTAATTGATGGGCAAATGATTTATTAATTCATTTATTGCCCTATCATCGGCATATAATGTTCAGAGACAGCCGATATTTATCGACAATCAAAATATAAAATTCAAATTTTTATTATCTGTAAAGATTTATTGTAGAAAACACTTTCTTGCATTAAGGGATTGCATTATTGCACATTAATTTTAATTACCGTATATTAAAAAGCTCATATATCAAAAAATTTTTTCATGCCGTCAGCTGAACTAAAAAAAGTGGTTAAGCTTTCCTTAGCTAAAACCTCGGATTTGAGTGCAAATGATTTTCGTAATACGTAACCCTATTTACCGGAACCGGACATGTGTATAGGTCTATATATATATATATATATATATATAGCATAGGATCCTCAATTCCTCGTTTTGAATAGTCGAGCGGTCGTCTTTCACTTATTAAAACCCAGCTTGAATTTAATATTTGCCTCATCTACTTGATATTTGCCCAGTTATGAAATCTAAAGGTACATCCTGTTTATCTATCTCCTAACGACCTCCGCTAAAAGAACTAAGAAGGCTTTTTCTAATATAATATCGTCAGCCTTAACGGTCTTGTCCGCTGCATTTTAGTCGCAGAAGAGGAGTTTTATGAAATCTCAAAAAGTAAGCAACTGAGACTGATTGTTGAGAATGCCTACTCTTCCGAATGCCGTCTAACTTCAAGATCTTGTAAATCCATATGAAACAAGAAAATCGGGTTATTAACTATCCGTGCATAATGTATATATAT